GGGTTTTTTTTTCTGTATCTCAGGACGCCTTTGATCAAATAGCCCCAAACATAGCTCACTGACCATATCCTGTGCTCTCATAAAGCATACAAATTTTAAGGTAATCTGATTTACCACATGGATTTTAGAGCACATAGAAGAGTCAGGTTTTAAACTGAAAGAAGGTTTTGACCTTCACTATAGCAGAACAAGTACTGCTAAAATTTATTCATCTATATAGAAACACAGGAAAGGGGTTAAAACAACAGAAGTCTAACATGTATTGTCTAACCTCAATTTAGCATCTACCTCATGCAGTTGGATAGGTCGCTTAACGTACGCAACTCCAGCTACGTAAAATAGAGTCGTATCTAGAGTCAGCTTACCTTAAGCCAAACTTGGCGCCATCTTCACAGTGCAGGGCTGATGGAAGCAAACACTCCTGTCAGCTTCCCTTACTCCTCATGGCTGTGAGGAGTACCAGTGCAGAACAGAGCTGACCTCAGCATTCAATTTAGCGGGTCTTAATTAGACGCACTAAATTGAATGTCAGAAGATTGATCTCTGGTGCGGTAATTGGAAACAGGGCCTTAGCCTTGGTTCCCCTAGCCTTGTTTTCCTGAGGATCAAGTTGCAGCCTGCTTTTCTGTAGATCATCTGTTTCCCTGACTCCTCAGAAGATCAGCTTTTTAACTACTTTCTAGCATTTTGTTTGAGGGATCATGATTAAAAGTCCCTTAAACCAGAATCTCCTCCTTCCCTACTTCATAGAACAGCCAGATCCTGATTTCACATTAGTGGAGGTAAACCTGAAAGGCGTTACAATTTATCACCTTGATTGTCTATTCCAATACAGCAGTGTTTCTCAAAGTGATCCATGAAACCACTCAGAAACCTGCCAACTGGCTGCTCCACTGTGTTTATTTACCAGCTCCGCAGCTACACAGCCTTGTGGCTCCCATTGGCTTTGGTTCGACAAGGGAGTCGTGGGAAGCAGCGTGACCTGGGCTGCCCCTTCCCATGGCTCCTCTTCGCTGCAAAAGGTAAACCAGAGCCAATGGGAGCCGTGAGGCTCCATTTCTGTGGAGCCGGTAAATAAATACACCAGAGTGGCCAGTTAGCAGGTTTCTCAGAGTGGTTTCCCGGACCACTTTGAGAAACCCTGGAATACAGGCTACTGGGGCGCTCTACAGCTATTGAGTTCTGATTTCTGCAAAGCTAACTAAAGCTGGTTTAACTTTTTGTTACCTATTAACCATCAAACAAAATAACCACCAAGCCCACAAATATAACATTCCTAACATTAACACAGATAACACTAACCTTCTTCCCAAGGCCCAAAAACTCAGCTGTACTAATGTTCACCTTGTGGTATCTTGCAACTGAGGACCTCAAAGCATTTTATCACAGAAACATAGAAATGTAGGACTGGAAGTGACCTCAAGATGTCATCCAGTCCACCCCTCAGGGGGTGAGGAAGGATTCTGTGTGTCTTAAGTATTCCTGACAGCTGTTTGTCTAACCCAATTTTAATGACAGGAATTCTGCACCCAGCCTAGGTAACTTGTTCCAGTGCTAACCTATCTATACAGTTAAGAAGGTTCTCTCCCCTCCCCCCAATATCTAACTTAAATCTCTCTCTTGCTGCAAAGTGAGCTGATTCCTTCCTATCCTTCCCTTAGTGGATATGAAGGACAAATTATCATGATCGTATTCTTAAGAACCTGCTACATAATAGAAAACTGTTACCAAGTTTCCCTTCAGCTTTCTCTTCTCCAAACGGGTGCATCTACACTGCACTTATAGTTTGAAATAAGCTACGAAATTTGAGCTACGCAATTTGCGTAGCTTATTTTGAGTTAATTTCTAAATAGAGAGCTATTCCAAAATGTGATTGAGCTACGCAATTTGCGTAGCCCTCAGAAGGTCATCAAGTCTAGCCCCCTGCTCTAGGCAGGACCAATTCCAACTAAATCAACCCGGCCAAGGCTTTGTCAAACCGAGACTTAAACACCTCTAGGGATGGAGACTCCACTACTTCCCTAGGTAACCCATTCCAGTGCTTCACCACCCTCCTAGTGAAATAGTTTTTCCTAATATCCAACCTGGACTTCTCCCACCACAACTTGAGACCATTGCTCCTTGTTCTGCCATCTGTCACTATCAAGACCAGCCTCTCTCCATCCTCTTTGGAACTTCCCTTCAGGAAGTTGAAGGCTGCTATCAAATCCCCCCTCACTCTTCGCTTCTGCAGACTAAACAGACCCAAGTCCCTCAGCCTCTCCTCATAAGTCATATACTCCAGCCCCCTAATCATTTTGGTTGCCCTCCGCTGGACCCTCTCCAATGTGTCCACATCCTTTTTGTAGTGGGGGGCCCAGAACTGGACACAATACTCCAGATGTGGCCTCACCAAAGCCGAATAAAGGGGAATAATGACATCTCTGGATCTGCTGGCAATGCTCCTCTTAATGCAACCTAATATGCCATTAGCCTTCTTGGATACAAGGGCACATTGTTGACTCATATCTAGCTTCTCATCCACTGTAACCCCCAGATCCTTTTCTGCAGAACTACTACTTAACCGGTTGGTCCCCAGCCTGTAACTATGCTTGGGATTCTTCCGTCCCAAGTGCAGGACTCTACACTTGTCCTTGTCATCAGATTTCTTGTGGCCCAATCCTCCAATTTGTCTAAGTCATTCTGGCCCCTGTCTCTGCCCTTAAGCATATCTACCTTTCCCCCCAGCTTAGTGTCATCTGCAAACTTGCTGAGGGTGCAATCCATCCCCTCATCCATATTATTAATAAAGATTTTGAACAAAACCGGTCCTAGAACCGAACCTTCGGGCACTCCACTAGAAATGTCCCTCAATCCTCGTGGAACAAGGTTTACAGGGACGTCGGAATAGTGTGCCCATTATTTGGAAAGATATTTAAAAATAACGGGTGTGTTGTCAAGACACAGAAAACACTATTTTGGGATACCAGAAGATCCTTAAATAGCGCCACTGTCTAGTCACACCCAACATGTCTAATTCTTTCAATGCATCCTAATAGGTCATGTTTTCTAACCCTCTTTCAGTTTTTGTTGCTTTCCTTTATTTAGTCATCACATTTTTCTTGCAGTATGGTGCCCACAACTGGGCACAGTACTCCAGGTGAGGCCTCACCAATGCTGACTAAACTGAAACAATCACTTTCTATGTCTTAAATATGATATTCCTGTTAATACATTTCAGAATGACATCTGAATTTTCACAGCAGCAGCATGTTGTTGACTCATACTGAATTTGTGATCCATCGTACCCCCAAATCTTTTTCTGCTTTACTGCCGCCTCACCAGTTGTATTTGTGCACTGGATTTTTCTTAACTAATATTTTTCATTTAATCACATAGTGTCTTACTAATTTCAGACCAATTCTTCAATTTATCATAATCCTTTTGAATCCTAATCCTGTCCTCCAAGTGCTTGCAATACCTCCCAAATTGATGATGTCCACAATCTAGCCTGTGGACAATTTGGCTCTGGTGAGGCCACATCTGGAGTATTGTGTTCAATTCTGGGCCCCCCACTATAGAAAGGACACACTGGAGAAGGTCCAGTGGAGGGCAATGAAAATGATTAGGGGGCTGGAGCCCATGACCTATGAGGAGAGGCTGAGGGATTTGGGTTTGTTTAGTCCACAGAAGAGAAGAGTGAGGGGGGATTTGATAGCAGCCTTCAACTTCCTGAAGGGAGGTTCCAAAGAGGATGGAGACCGTCTGTTCACAGTAGTGATGGATGGCAGAACAAGGAGCAATGGGCTCAAGTTATTGTGGGAGATGTCTAGGTTGGATATTAGGAAAAACTATTTCACTAGGAGGGTGGTGAAGCACTGGAATGGGTTGTGTAGAGAGGTGGTGGAATCTCCATCCCTAGAGGTTTTTAAGTCTCGGCTTCACAAAGCCCTGGATGGGTTGATTTAGTTGGGATTGGTCCTGCCTTGGTCAGGGAGCTGGACTTGATGACCTCCTGCGGTCTCTTCCAGCTCTATGATTCTATGATACCTAAGTGAATGGTGGAACTAAAATGGCTTCATCAGGTGCTCCTGAACAAGTAAATGAATGCATTTTAACTCAGGCCTCCTCCTCATAGTGATTAAAAATAAATTTCAAAAACAGTGTGGCATTTGAATAGCATTTGCAATTACAATTATTCTTCATCATCGGGGAGCACTCAGCTGTTTACAGATCACTGAGTTCCTAGGAATTGCCACATGAGATCAGACTCATGGGCCAAGTAGTCCAGTGTTCTACCTCCAACACTGACCAGTAGCACATGCTACCGAGATGCAGGTAGGTGCAGAAACCCACACAGCAAGGAGATGGGAGATAATCTACCTCTACCCCATACAGGAAATATTTGCTAGGCACATTTAATGCTTTTAAGATACCGTTGAGATGTTGTACTTAATGATTCAGTCCTAAAAGCAATAACAAGGAATTCTTCTTGAATAAACAGAGTCCTATTAAGCTCCTTAATTAAAGCTACAGGTGATAAACTTTTGATTACTTGCACATAATGAAAGGTGCCCATTTTCTCATGTGTGTGAGGCCATACAATATAGTGTATACCCTTTCTGTGTATATATCTTTATGCAGCTTTTTAGATCCCATTTCTGTGAAGTATTTAAATGTTTTTATACACATATTTAAATCTTGTATTTTCCATTTAAAAATGGACTGGGAAAACTGCATGAGTAGAAAGAAAATATGATTTAAGGAACAACTGTGTTCTGGCCTGACCTTTCTGATTGTTGTTAAGTCTGCTCAAAACAGAACCTAGAAATTCAAATACTTTATGAAGTTAATGGTGTAAAACTAAAATCCTGTAGAAGAATCAGTGCCAAAGAAAAAAAAAGAGAGAGCGAGAGTAGCTAATTGAGTTCCACAGGTCTATCTGTGCATCACGTAATCCAAGAGGATTTATTTCTATTCAGTCACCAAGCAAGTCTCTATAAGGTGTCCTTGATGCTTACCTGGCATGACTTCAGTCACGAGAGGTCCCTCAGCAGGCACTTCCCTGATGATCTCATTATCGTCTTCATTGACATCCAGCCAACGGCCACATTTGAACGTATATTTCTCCTTCGTCAGTGTCTTCAGCAGAGTTATCTTAATTAAACCAAAACAGCACCTGAGTTTGCAGGCTTAAAAACAAAAATGGCAAGCTCCCAATAAACTCTGTGGGGGGAGGAAGGGTAGGTCAGAGCCATGAAGGCATAAATATCAACATTTAGAGAACCATTCAGGTTATGCTTTTCACTGTGACATCTGAGCACCTACCAGAATTAGGACACTAAAAGGGTGTGTCTAGACTACTGAGTTTTTAAAAAAAAAAACTTCACCTGCATCTAGATTGCCGTCACATTCTTTTGAAATTAAATCGAAAGAACGCGGCGGTTTTTTCAAAATCAGTAAACCTACTTTTACCAGGAAGAACGCCTTTTTTCGAAAGAGCTCTTTTGAAAAAAGGCATTCTTGAACGCAAACAGGGCTTTTTCAAAAGAGAGCATCCAGATTGCCTGGGTGCTCTCTTTCGAAAAAGCAGATTGCTTTTTCAAAACCCTTGTGGCTGTCTAGATGATCTCTTTCGAAAGAGGCTTGTAGTCTAGATGTACCCTAAACAAGGAGATGAATGTCTGTCAGATCTGATTCCTTTTCACTCCTTCCCTTCTCCACCCACCCCAAGGCAAAACTGTTGTTCAAACTCATCTGCCCTCCACTCAAAAAGTAACTTAGAACAAAGTTTTGATCAACTTATTGCTATTCAGATTTACTTATGTGCTTATACTATGCCCAGTGCTGTACTATGTACAGATAACACACCAATAATCCATGCCCCAGGGAGGTTGCAAGTTCAAACAGAAAGACACAGAACAGTCAGGGCACACTGATGGGATGACTGGAATCGACTGGGAATGACTGGGATTTTTGTTTAAATGTACTAGGAGTTGTATATCACAAAAAAGTGAGTCTGTTGGGGAACTATAAACTGTGGCACTGTGTGACGGGGTGTGCAAACCCCGCACCGAGACAGACACGATTCAAATTAGGGATGTAAGAGTGTAGTCGATTAAAAGATTAACCGATAAGCAAAAGCTGGTAGGACCCAGACCCAGCATGAGCCAGGACTGAGCTGTGCTGCCAGCCTGCCAGCTCCTACTACATTTTAAATGGAGAGCTGCAGCGGCACTAGGTCCTGGACCCGATGTGAGCCAGGTTGCCTGCCCACCCAGCTCTTACCTAATACCCTCTAAATGCAGAGCCTCAGCGGGGGTAGGTCCCGCACACAACGCAAGCTGTGGCTGAATGCTTTAACTGCCTTCCCTTATCGACTAATCGTGTAGTCCACAAAAATTCTATCGACAACACGATTAGCAAATTACCCACTTCTTATCCCCAGTTCAAACCCTGTGGGCAAAGGAAGTCCCATCCCTCCACCCAGACTGGACATGCTCCAAGCGCTGGAGCAGTATAAAGGGGAGTAGCTCAGCTCGATCTGGGCTAGAGGCTGGAGAGGAAGGACCCGCTATAGGAGCTCCAGAGGTAGCCCAGCCAGAGACCGCATCGAGCTGCCAGAGCTGGAGGAGCATCAGGGTGAGGCTGGCGCAGTGGAACCAGAGGACCCAGAGATTACGTGGAGCAGCCCAATGCGGGATGTGGTAGAAAGTGACCCCCGGAGGGTGAGTGAGTGGTATCTCCCACCCGAGTGTTGCGGTGGGATTCCCTTCAGACCAAGTGGTGGATCACTCCCACACTGATGGGGCCCTAGGTCGGGACCCAATGGAGTAGGGCGAGCCTGGGCCCCCTTACCAGGGCTGCTGCCCCCAAACCAGTGAGACTCTAACCATTAGGATGTGCTGCCCTGAACCAAGGGCTGTGTTACTGACTCTAACCATTAGACTGTGCTGCCCTGAACCAAGGGCTGTGTTACTGACTCTAACCATTAGACTGTGCTGCCCTGAACCAAGGGCTGTGTTACTGACTCTAACCATTAGACTGTGCTGCCCTGAACCAAGGGCTGTGTTACTGACTCTAACCATTAGACTGTGCTGCCCTGAACCAAGGGCTGTGTTACTGACTCTAACCATTAGACTGTGCTGCCCTGAACCAAGGGCTGTGTTACTGACTCTAACCATTAGACTGTGCTGCCCTGAACCAAGGGCTGTGTTACTGACTCTAACCATTAGACTGTGCTGCCCTGAACCAAGGGCTGTGTTACTGACTCTAACCATTAGACTGTGCTGCCCTGAACCAAGGGCTGTGTTACTGACTCTAACCATTAGACTGTGCTGCCCTGAACCAAGGGCTGTGTTACTGACTCTAACCATTAGACTGTGCTGCCCTGAACCAAGGGCTGTGTTACTGACTCTAACCATTAGACTGTGCTGCCCTGAACCAAGGGCTGTGTTACTGACTCTAACCATTAGGCTGTGCTACCCTGTGAAGAAATGGGTATGCTGACAACTTAGGCCACTAGGCCTCTGCACTTCAGGGTGATGGACTAAAGTGGGTAACCTGTGTGCCCGGGGGGCTCTGCTGCTGGCCTTGTGCCCAGGGCTTTGGTCCCATCCTCAGTTGGGGGTGGGGGTGGACAGGAGTAAGGGGCCTCAGCACCCCACTTTTAAAAATGTTCCCACACTACTAATCAGAGCTGCCTGATAGGGGTTACTCAAGAGCTTCCATTCCTAAAGGAGGGAGCATTCTGCAGGGAGCCCGTTCAATCTGATATAAAAATGATATATTCCCACCAGCCTCACTTATTGCTCGCAGCAGGCAGCGAAGAACAAACTGGAGTCCCTCTGACACCGACAAAGAGGGGACTCCTCCTCAGTAGGGCACCCTTCGCTCCCTCCGGAGTAAAAATGACAGCAAGTGAAGGCTGACAAAGTACAAATAACTCTGGATGTCTCTTGAGACCCAGCATGCATCTGTAACACTTCACCCTTTACTAGCTCGCCTAGATCCTGCCTCTGCCTGTGCAGCTTCCTCAGCATGGAAGAGGCCAGAATCCAGCCTCATTGCATTAGAGACACTAAAGAATAAACAATGTGCCATTGTAAACTGGTAAGTAGTGATTTATCATCACTGTTATTTACAGCTGGAGTGTGAAATTGATGGTTTTTGAAGCACGAGCTTCCAAGCTATCCAGAGCTGGGCTGGTGGCCTACTGACAGCATGCTGCATTTTTCAGCTGCAAGGATAAAGCTTAAGGATGAACTCCATGCCTCCAGACTTAGGCAAAGTCTGACAGCATCATAATCAGTGTCAAAGGAATGGAGAAATAAACCAGATCCTACTTCACAAGAACACTTTCCTGCTGGCTAAGTAACAAAGAGAACTGGTGCTGGCTGAATGAGAGAAATAAGAAACGAGTAAAGATTTTTAAGTAGGTTATCATGTATGTCCCCCACACAGGATGAAGGATCACTATAGTACAATCTCCACTGTTTCCTTCAATCAAGATATAAATGACTTAAGGAACAGGGCTTCCAGGGTTGTCCATTGGGAGATTGTCACACCCTCCCAGATCTCACTGTTAGGAATCATTTTCTTTCTGATCAGCCAAAACAGGCTGTAAAGGCACTTGCTTGCTGACCCTGCTGCGTAAAATGATGTGTCTGAGAGCTCCAGGAATATCCATGCATACAGCAGGCAAGGACAGGGAGGAAGGATGCACTCTTCAGGCTGTTGGTTGCTGCCATTTTCCATCCCTCTCGTCTCCTCCAGTGACTGCCCTCGACAGGATATCAGACCACTGGTGTCCTGCCCCTATTACTGTTGCTGGGCTTACTTATCACAGTCAATGCGTCTAGTTCAGGGGCGAGGAACCTTTTTTGGGCTGGCGGCCACTGACCCACAGAAAAATCAGGTGGGGGCTGCACACAAGTGAGAAGGAAAACAAACAATAAACCAACCAAACAAAAAAACAAAACAAACCCTCACGGCCTGAGGTGAGCCTGGGGGCCCCTGACTGAGAAAGACACTCCCCACATTTCCCTTCACACACCAGAGCCTATGGAGGCCCAGGCTAGTAAATGTTGTGTGTTCCAGTCCCACAGTAGGGTGCTGGGGGGAGGCGGGAGTGGCTAGAATCAGCACGAACTCCCCAGTGCTGGTGGAGGGGAACCCTGAGTCTCGGGGGCTGGATCCAGCAAAGCTGGGGGCTGCATCCAGCTAAGGTTCTGCACCCCTATTCTAATCCTCAGATTGGCTGGGGACAGAAGAATTATATGTGAAATCCAGGACCTCTGACTTGGGGTAAGGATCAAAATCCTACCAGGCCACAGGATTCTGATACGCACTATGCACAGCATTTTTCTTGCTCCAGACCTCCAGCATCAGGGCCAACGTTCCCCAGGTGGAGGAGGGCTGCATAGGACTCAGTGTGGGGACAATTGACAAGCTTATCTGTTCACTGCTGAGCACTGGGGGTCACTCCAGTCTCCCCTCCCGCTGTCAGGACCTAGTGCAGCATCAGCAGTAGTGCCCAGTTCTGAGGGTGGAGCTTCCGCGCAACCCAACAGCACAAGTGGCTGGGCTGCATGGTGGGTGGGAGGGGGAGGAGCTGACATGGAGCTGTGGACAGGAGGAATCCTCTCCCACAGGCTGGGAAACACCAAAAGGAATCACTCGCTAGCCACTACTGTAGTGCAGTATAAAGGTTGTGTGTGTCCCTGCAGAACCTACATCTCTGCTCAGACACAGACAATAGTCAGTGGGCCTATGTAGGAGTCCGTTCACAAGGCATGCTCCCTCTTCTCCCCATGGCAAAAGGATGTAGGGATCCCCAGTGTAGCTGTACTCGGTGATATGCCAGGGGTGTGCACTTTTCAGGCAACCTCCCCAGAACCCGATCTTCACCATTGCCCAGCAGAACCACGCACTGTTGTAAACGGAGAAACCAATTCAGGCTCCTAAGACCAGTGGCTCATTAACACAGCAAATTGTTTGGAACACGTAGAGGATGACTTACCCCATTGAGAGTGGACTTGGCTTTTCCAGGTGCAACTTACCTTTTCCTATCATCTCACCTTGTCTAGATGCCAGCCAGCAAAAGGGCTCCTCTTCTCATGCCATATCCGGAGCTTATAAAATGTGCCCAGATCAGGGAGCTCAATCTACACAAACAAACATACCCAACATGGCACATGACATAACTCGGCAAGGCACATGTATTGCTCTTAAAACCTATAATACACAGGTTCTAATGAGGGTCAAAAAAAGAGTAAGAACAGGCGATGAGAGTGAATTATGTTAGAAAGATAACACACTCTGCACCACAGAGACAGTCTGATAAATTTCATGAAAGTCAGGTAGGTCATGTGCATGGAGTAGAATCTGCTGCCTTAGGTGAAGTTCTGCCTTAGAATACTGACAGGAACCCACATACCTCTTTGCACACCTGACTCTAGGGCAGTGGCTCTCAGCCTTTCCAGATTACTATATCCTTTTGGGAGCCTGATTCTCTTGCCTTCCACCCATGTTTTCCTCCCTGAAGCATGACGTTCTTACAAAATCAGATGAAAACATACAAAAATGTCACAGCACACTATTACTGGAAAATAGCCGAGGTTCTCGTTTTTGCCATATAATTATACAATAAATCAACTGGAATAGAACTATTCTACTTACATGTCAGAGTATAGTCTACAGAGCAGCAGAAACAAGTCATGGTCTGTATGAAATTTTGGTTTGGATTGACTTTGCTAGTGCAATTTATGTGGCATGTTATAAAACTAGGCAAACACCTAGATGAGTTGATGAATCCCCTGGAAGACCCCCCGTATACCCCGCAGGAATATGCATCCCCTGGTTGAGTACCACTGCTCTAGAGCCCCAACATCAGAGCTGATATTTCCAAGTTGAGGAGCACTGCACAGGAACCGATGTGGAGACCATCATTGGCCTGAGCCATTCACTGTTGAGTACAGTGTGCTCTCTGAATAAGTCATGTGAATAAGGGCTGTCGGCTATAATATTTGGAGCACCTTATTCTCACAGCATTATTCTGGTAGGAATCTTCCTCAACTGATCCCCAAACAAAGCTTCCAAAACTCATGCACCTCTCCTTCTCTGAGACAGCTACAGCTTCAGATAGCTAGATAGAGGAATTATTGTTATGAACAGGGTAGTTAATCAGAACCCATAACTAAGCTTTAGGGACATGTCATCACCTGTCAAATGCAAGCAGCTCAAGAAATTAGGGGTAGCAGAATAGCCTATAATGGACCCTAACTCTGCAGGCAGCATTGGCATGAGCACTGATCATTTTTGGAGGGACATGTCCAAAGAGACTGAACATGTGGCCAGGGCAAAACTATATCCTATGTGCAAAGGGAGCTTTGTCTTCTGCTTGTTCTTTGTAGAGCCTAGAGGACTTTGAGGGCACTGTACACACAAATAAACTATCCCATTAATTCTAGTGTCCACGACAGTCAGCCTTGTGCGAGCACCAAGAGGCTAGCATTGCATGTCATGAGGCTACACTGCTCTTCCTCAGGTTCTAGCAAGAGCCATTAGTGAGGCTCTGTGATTGTTCCTGCCTTCTGCAGGCATAATGGAGCATCTCCTCCAAAGGCATACATGGGTGCAACATATGCACTGGAGTCAATGGAGCTGAGACAGTTTACATCACCTGAGGACAGAGCCCGCCTACTCCAGGAATTCTAGAGAGAATTTAATACATTCTACCCCATTACCTCAAGTCACCATCCCCTGAAGTACCTTAAGCCCTATTTTAAGAACTAGGGCCAGACCCTCAGCTGGTGTAAATCTTTGTGTTTCCACTGAAGTTAATGGAAATATATCTATTTACATCACCCAAGGATTTGTTCAGGGCTTAAAGTGGGTTTAAGTGGTGAATAGGCCTGGGACTTCTGGCCTTCTATAGAGGGGTGAAATTTGCCATAAAAGAACCACAGTCGAGTCCTTCCACCACAAATGCAGGGTTCTGACCATGAACTTGTCAGTCTGTCCAGCTTCGAAGTTGTCCGAATTGTTGTCCAGTTTCATTTCATCTGACTTCCCCTTGTCTCCGTAAATCTGGAGGAAGATGCTGGCATCTGTCCCTGCATTCTTAATGTCACTTGTCCAGATCCAAAGTGACCAGGGATTTTCTACAAAGAAGAGCCAAACCATTTTATAAACAACACAGAAAATAAAAGTATCGACACTCATTGGCAAACGCATGCCTATAACTTCACACCAAGACAAAAGGAGGCTTGGCATTTATGTGAGAAAAATTCAGGATTTTTTATTCTCTCAGACATATAAGTGATCAAGTATCTATAGTCATATAGGAATAACATTCTACACCCTGAAAGTGTGTGCTTTTGCACTAATGTAATTTGTAAAGTCATGTGTATAAAAAAGCCAAAACTGGCTGAGAACTTAAAAACTGGACAGCAACAGACCAAAAATGCTCCGAGGCATGCGTCAGTTTGTATCACTTCACACTGACTTAACAGACAATCTAGGCTTCAGAGTGATGTGTGGGGTTATTTTGTATGCTGGTTGTCTTGTGTGTATGGTTATCTTGTTTTGTACGTGGGTTGTGTCGCGCTGGTAGAGTTGTACTGATTTGTGTGAATAGCAAATAAGCGGTGCCTACTGAGGTGAGGGTCTATGTGAGTTTGAGGCAAAAGTATGTGAAGGATGTTATTTTACATAGGTTGTGGTATGTTAGGAGAGCTTTGTGGACCTGTGCATGTGATGAGTGGAGAAAAGGTGCGTGCTGCAGTGAGGGGTTATATGTGTTTGGGGTTTGTGTATGCTGGTTGTGTTGTTATGCAAATAATTGTGTCCATGTGTGGCCAGGTGGGTTGTACTGGGAGATTTGTGGTGACTGTGTGTGTGGTAGTTGGGCTAAGAAATCCATTATCTGTTCAGTCTCCCTCAACCAATGAAATTGTTGCACACAAATTAGCTGCAAAGTAAAGGTAGTGATTGGTTGAGTTAACATGGCCTGTTATATACCCATCCCTTACTGTAGTATATAGTTGCATAGGTGTAATTTGTAAGGTCAAATTAGCAGAAAACCTAAGAACTGGAGAGTGACTGACTTCATAACCCAGTAATTATTTGGTTGCCAAGGAAGTAAAGAGGTCAAAGAAAAACAAACCAAGCACAGAGTTTGGATAGATCTGTCAGAAGAGATTAGGAATCCCCAAGCATTTGCTACATCTTTGCAGATCTTAGTGGCTCTGTAAATTTGAAGCCTTCAGGCTTTACCCTACGCATCACCTCTCTAAACCTCCCTCCATATCCAGTGACATTGTGGACATTTGGTTCACAAGGAAGTTCTCATAAGTAGGCTTAGGTAAGCCAAGAGTCTTCGAAGTATAAGCACCAAAGGCAGACAGGAATCATTTGGTGCAAAAGGTTCGAGAATGAAATAAGAGTTGGTTGTACAGCAAGAAAAGCTCCTGACATCTATAAATCCGTGGAATACTCTTAAAAAAGCAGTGCAAGCAAGTGTGTAATGTGGACATTAAAAATGAGTTTGAACAACACTCCAAAAACCATACAGTTGAGAATAATTCTGTACTAGCAAACTGATGGGCAGGATGACATAATAGGTTTTCCCCATCTCCAGCTTCTACCATTCTTTAATATGGCATTTAAAGGGCACAGATTTCTCAAGGCTAATGTTTTCCGCCCATCTCACATACAATGGCAACCAGGGAATTACCCTGTCAATAAAAATCAGAGTTGATAATATGGCAGTTAAAGGTCATAAATGCTTTAGTTAAATGGACTGTATCAGAGACATAATGTGATGATAACATCAAATAACATGTAGATAAACTTAGTTTAAACAGAACTGCTGCTTACACAGGACAAACTAGAATCCACAGAGGCATCCTGATGAAATAGAATTTAATTTTGCCAATTAAAATATTTTGC